ACAACGGATACCTGGACACGTCCGTCCAAAAGGGGGGAGTTCCAGGGGTAGCGGGCTGTCTTGAGCACACTAGCATAATTACTAAGATCATCGAAGATGCAAAGAAGAACCGTGGTGACCTGGCAGTTCTGTGGCTGGATTTAACAAATGCGTATGGGACAATACCCCACAAGTTGGTGGATTTGACATTGAAGATCTACCGTGTTCCAGAGCGTTTCCAGAAGCTTTTGCAGCACTACTATGACAATTTCAACACGCGCTTCACCTGTGGAGATTTTACCACCGAATGGCAGAGGCTAGAGGTGGGCATTGTCACTGGCTGCACGATTTCAGTTATCTTGTTTTCAGCAGCGATGAACCTTCTCGTAAAGTCAGCAGAGAAGTTGCAGCGGGGTGCAGTGTTGACTAGTGGCATCCAGCAGGTACCCATAAGAGCATTTATGGATGACCTCACCATCACGGCAAAATCAGTACCTGAAGGGAGATGGATCTTGGAGGATCTGGTTGAGCTCACCGATTGGGCAAGGATGGAGTTTAAACCTGAAAAGTCCAGAAGCCTGGTATTGAGGAAGGGGCGCATTCAGGACCGGTTCCGTTTTAGGATAAAAGATACCATCATCCCAACGGTCCAAGAGAGACCAGTGAAGAGCTTGGGGAAGTGGTATAGGGCAGACCTCAATGATAAGCAGAGTGTGAGGGAGATGATTATCCAAGCAGAAACCTGGATGACATCCTTAGAGAAGAGTGGCCTACCCGGCAAATATAAGGCCTGGGGGTACCAACATGGGGTACTTCCTAGACTGCTCTGGCCTCTGCTTGTTTATGAGGTACCTGTCTCGACTGTAGAGAGACTGGAGAGAAAGATGAACACCTATTTAAGGAGGTGGCTGGGTGTCCCAAGAAGTTTTTGCTCCATTGGCCTGTACAGCACAGGCAGCAAGCTGCAGCTGCCGGTGACATCAGTGCTCGAGGAGTATAAGGCAGCGAGGAAGAACCCATTGCTAATCGCTATGGAGAGGTACATTACAAGATACCCCCAGGGTCGAGCGAGAGCGGGGGAGGATGACCGGCCTATAGGACAGACTATTGTTATGACCACTTATGATGAACAATCGACTATGGAGCAGCCAAGCGACTTATCTCGGGTCTGCAGATGTGGGAGGATATGTAAAAATGAGAGGGGTCTTAAGATACATCAGTCAAAGATGAAGTGCTTGCAACCTGAACATAATGTGCAACGCACAGGGAAACCTGGTGAGACGGAGGAGAGGCCGGGGCAGGAGGCAAACCACAGCCCCCAGAATCTCCAGGCACATGATGAAGACGGGAGCAGGAACAGCATCATTGATGTGTCAGAGGACAAGGCAGAGGCGGCAGAGGCGGAGGGTACACATGGCATTAGACAACCTGGACAGGATATATGGGTAGGGGTGGAACTGGTGGAACTGGTGAATTGGCCTGCTGCAGTGGCAAGGACGGAGTGGGAGAAGTTTGATCATGATGTGGATGAGGTGCTGGAAATAGCTTTGGCAGGAGATGTGGGGAAGAAGCTCAAGGCTATGGCTTCCATTATTTGGAGCATAGGTGCTGATCGCTTTGGAAAGAAAGAGCCGAAGGTTAAAACATACGCCCAGCCAAAGGAAAACAGACGGGTGAAGGAGATAGCAATCCTTAGAGGGGATTTGCGGAGGCTGAGGAAGGCATTTCGTGAAGCAACAGTGGAGGAGAGACCAGCACTCACGGAAATTCGTGATAACCTGAGGGAGCGCATTTTGCGAATTTTGCGAAGAGCTGAATGTCATCGCAGAGACAGGAAGCGACGAATGAAGGAGCGGACAGATTTCACCATGAATCCTTTCAAATATCTGTCGAAACTTCTGGGTGATGTAAGATCAGGGCAGCTAAAAGCAAAGAAGGAAGAGGTGGAGGAGCACCTTCGGCAGGTCCATAGCGACCCTAGAAGGGAGGACAGTCTGGAAGAGATGGAGAAACTCATAAGACCAACAAAACCAGCTATCCCCTTCATAGCTGAGGGACCGAGCTGGCAGGAGATGAACACTTTTCTCAGGAAGGCCAGAGCAAAATCAGCCCCAGGGCTGAATGGCATTCCGTACAAGGTATATAAATATTGCGAAAGGCTCAGGGGACGACTTTGGAAGCTACTGCGAGTGGCATGGAAGAAGGATTTCCTCCACCGCAGCATGGTACAGAGGGAGGTCCGCAAGGCAGAGGAGGAAATCCAACATGTCAAGGCTGTAGCCATGAAAAAACAGGGCAGCTGGACAAGGTGGGAGGGCGTACGAGAAAGGGCCCTGACGTGGCAGGACATTTGGATCATGGAAGGACGCCGGATAAAGTTCTTGATGTGTTCTGTCTACAATGTGCTGCCTACTCCATCAAACCTCCATATTTGGGGGATGGCAGAGAGTCCCAGCTGCACATTGTGTGGAAAGCAAGCCAACCTTGAGCATGTCCTCTCAGCATGTCAATCAAGTCTG